GATGGAGCCCTGAGTGGAGCTCCACACTCAGTGGGGAGTCTGAGATTCTCTCCCGCTCTCTCTCCCTTTCTCTCCCTCTAGCCCTGCCCCGCCTCACGCACATGTGTGCACACACACACACTCTCTCTCTCTCAAATAAATCTTTAAAAAATAATATTATTATAGCAAGATAGCCCATCCCCTCCAGGTTTCTGACTCAAGTCTGGAGTGGGCCTGAGGTGCTGCTGGTCACATTTTGAGAAGCACGAGGCTTGTGCCTAGTCCAGTGCTTGGCATACAGCAAGCACTGGGACAATGTGAGATCATCTCCCAACAGCTGAGGGGGGCAGAGGCTGGACTGGCTGCACGCAAGCATGGGCAGAAAGCAAGAGAAGCAGGGGCCGGCTCTGCTGATGACTTAAAGCGCGACTTGGGGCATATCCTCCCGGGCTGGACCTCACTCCCTCTCCTGTCTGTAATAGGAGGAGCCTGAACCAGGTGGCCCCTAGTTTCTGCTCTGAAAGTTTTTGACTTGGAGGAGAGGATATGAAACAGTGCAGTCAACATTTAAAAAGAGGCAGAGAAAAAATGAGAGGCTCTGTCTGGCCCAGTAATCCCCAGTCCTGACTCAAGTTGAAAGCTGTGCTAGCTTCAAGACAAATCTGAGAGGGGCGCTTGGGTGGCTCAGTTGGTTAAGCAACTGCCTTCAGCTCAGGTCATGATCCTGGAGTCCCGGGATCAAGTCCTACATCGGGCTTCCTGCTCAGCAGGGAGTCTGCTTCTCCCTCTGACCCTCTTGCCTTTCGTGCTTTCTCTCTCTCATTCTCTCTCTGAAATAAATAAATAAAATCTTAAAAGAAAAAAAAGCAGGTGAGATCCTCCAAATCTTGTTCCTCAATTATTAAAAAAAAAAAAAAAAAAAAAAGACAAATCTGAGAATGGGCCCCCACTGTCTGGCCCTGGGGAAGTTTCCAGGGGATATCTTCCCCCCACCACCACCATCCAGGGCTGGGACTCTTCCCAGCCTGGGAGGTGAGAGGGCAACGTGGAGATGAACCAAGTCACCCATTCAGGTCACCAGCTGAAAATCAGGAGCAAAACAAGACCCCCTTAAAATACACAGCAGGCAATGTCTCATGGGCTAAAGATAAGGAACTTTGGACTCACTAGGGCCTGGATTAAAATCATGGCCCATCACCTTCTGACTGTACTGTGACCTGGGCAAGCACTTTTATCTACAGGGAAGAGACTCTTGGGCTCACCTAATTAGAAATTGACATACTTATGATTAAGTAAATCAGAAGGGAAAGGTTATCTTATAACAAGAAGTTATGTACTGGGGCGCCTGGGTGGCTCAGTCGTTAAGCGTCTGCCTTCGGCTCACGTCATGGTCCCAGGGTCCTGGGATCGAGCCCTGCATCAGGCTCCCTGCTCCGCGGGAAGCCTGCTTCTCCCTCTCCCACTCCCCCTGCTCGTGTTCCCTCTCTCGCTGTGTCTCTCTCTGTCGAATAAATAAATAAAATCTTAAAAAAAAAAAAAACAAAATAAGAAGTTATGTACTAACAAAACAAGATTTTTGAGGATTTACTCTGTGCCAGGTACTATCCTAATCACCTTACCTGGATTATGTCACTTAACTATAACCATCTTGGGAGGTAGGTGCTATTATTAGCCACATGGGGGAGGAAACTGAGGCATATGTAGGTGAAATAAGTCACATAGGCCACAGAGCCAGCCAGTAGGTGAGTATGGATTTGGACTCATGCCATCCAGCTCCAGAACACAAGACCTGAACCACTCTGACATGCTTCCTCTCACCCAGAGCTGGGCCTTAGGGAACTTGTGGGAGTGGGGGAGAAGGGGTTTGGCCCCTCTGAGCTTTAGGGTCTCCTGTGCCTGCAGTTTCTGCACCCTGGCTCACACAACACCTGTTAATACATGACTTTGCCACCCTCTCATGTCAGAGTCTCCCTCCTCCCACAACTGGCTGAAGAAAGACTCTTTTACATGGTCACCAAGTGGGCGGTGAGAAGCACTGGTCCTCAAGATGGCTTAGATGGTACAGGGCCTAGGCCTTAAATCATATCAAATTACATGGGGAGAAAGCTGTTCCCTTTTCAATTCTCTTTCAGTTTCAGTAACCTCAGGGGAAGGTCTTGGCTGTATAACTCTTGCTACCTCCTCCCCCACTTTGAGAACAGTAAGCCCTCTCAGTTTTTTTTCTGGATATATCCCAAAGGCAGCTGTCCTGCCACAACTTGAGTGCAAGCCCCGCTCACTGGCTTCCTGATCACCACGGGGACTTCAGTTCTCCATTGAGTAGCCAGGATGAGCTCTTTCAAGCTCAAATTTCGTTATCTCATAACTTTAAAAACCTCCATCTGCAATGCAGATAAAATCCAAACTCCTGGCTATGGCCTACAGGCTTCTGCATCCCACCTGCCTCTGTGACCTCATCTCCCCAGTGCCTCCCCTTCCTCCTATGCCTCCTGTCCACCCCCTCACACAGCCTCTCTAGAAATGCATTCAATCTCCCTGTCCTCAGGGATGGCTCCTTTCCATTATTCAGGTCTTGACGCAAATGTCACCTCCTGAGAAGAGTTCCCTGAATACTGACCCGAGCAGCCCCACCCACTCCCTCTCAACCCAGCCACCTGAGCTCCTTAACACTGGTCTGCATCCACCTATAGCACCTATCTCTTGGCTTTCTCTACCACACAACTAGGCTGTAAGGTCCTGGAGGGTGGGGACTAGGTCAGTCTTGGTCATTTTGGTATTTCCTGTGCTTGGCTCAGTACCTAACCAACAGTAGACATTAAACACATATCTGTTAATTGACCGATGACAGAGTGACACTCGGGGGTCCTCCTGAGAGCCTCTTCTTTTGGAAATGGCTGGCAACCTTCCTGCTCTTGAGGTCCTCTTTTTTAGGTTGGGATTCTCCCACCAGTGGGCACTTACCAGATGATTTTAGGGGGTGCACAGATTCCACCTTAAATAACATTGAATCATGGAGAAAGGGGAACTTCCCTCTTCCGTTCTCTTTGAATTTTCCTGATTATACAAGAGAAAAATTCTGTTAGTGTTACTCCTTATCACTTCTCTAACACTTGCTAATCTCAGATTCTTACAAAGTCCTCAGTTTCACAGTTTTCTGCACATGCTGATATTTAGCTAGATTATAACATTATACTATTTTCACTGTGTATATATTTTATAGATACTTTGTTAAAGTGGGAAGTGATTTAAGGTAATGCTATGGCGTACCTCTTTTAAATAAATGTATTTAGGGTTTTTTTAAATAGCAAATTGACTTAAAGACTTCAAACACAGGTGTATGTGTCTGTGGCCAGTATTGTGAAGGTGGGGTGCCATTGGTGATAGTTGGGGGACCTCTCACTGTTCCAGGCAGAGCAGGCCCTTCTGGAACACAGACTGGCTCCAAATGAGCCCCTGGACCAAGTGCCATTTAGTTTGTTCAGTGATATGAGAAGTTTTCAGCTGAGTATGAATGAACTTTTTCCCTGGACGTCAGTGCATGAATTTGGGGGACCTCTTTGTCAATCTCAGTCTATTTTGCTTTAATGTGTAGGGCCTCTGTTCTTTTCTGTGCAGTTCTGACCACTTGGTATGACCACCATGGTCATGAGTAGAGAATGGTGGATCCAGAACACAAAATACTTAATATCCTGATGTCAAAGTTCCCTAGTGAAGTCAGGCCCTGGCCTTTTCTTTGTCCGTCATATAAACCAGGCAAACATGAGCTGTTATTTGTGGATGCACCAAATAAATCACCTAGTGCACAGCTTTGCTCAGCCCAACTATTGAAAGACAGAACTCAGCTACATAAATTCTGAGGTCCAAAAAATTGGGTCTTCCAGGGCCCTAAACACCCTTTACCCTGTGTCAGTCGGATCTCCTGTTCTTTTTAGTCCAAATGGATGGTGTTAGGTATTTAAAATATGCAGCAAGTATACATCTTGGCATTCCCTGGACTCAAAATGTGCCAGCTTTGTGTATTTTCTGTAGTATACTAATATCCAATTTCTAAGTCAAACATTCAGCAAATTCAAATGTTTGGCTTGAAAGCTGTGTGACTTTGGCCAAGTACTTACCCTCTCTGAGCTTCAGTCTACTTCCTTGTGTTATTTGAAGATTAAAGGAGATAATGCATGTGAAGCAGTGTCTGGCATTCAATAAATGGCTGTCATATTTTTAGTTTGCATCTCATCAGGCCCCTCCGTCGAAGAGGCTGCACTCTAATTTGATTAGCTCTCCAAACTAAATCTCGGCTGCTTCCCCTCGACCCCTTGCAGTTATTCAGTCATTTCTTTACCAAGCTCTACTGAGTGCCATGTTTTGTGCTGGACGCTGCCTACGTAAGCAGGAATCAAGCCAGGTCCCCGCCATTGCCAAGCCCACAGCCGAGTAAGAAAGAGACTCCCAAACGGCGCAAATGGGCTGTAATCGAGGTATGTCGCCAGTGTAGTCAGAGCGAATGCGGAGGGAATGTCTAATTGAGACTTAGGGGTGCGACGAGTCGATGGAGAGGGGTTGTCATTCAGGTAACTGGCACTGTCCGTACAAAAAGCACAAGCACAGGAGAGGGAGCAGACGGCTGGTGTACCCCTAAAGCCCGGGTGGATCTGGCGCAAGCTTCAGGACCCGGGGGCCGGAGGGCTTTGAATGCTCGGCCCCGATTTCGGGGTTCCTCCCACTGGCAAAAGGAGCCCGGAGGAGCTTGTGCTCAGGAATGAAGCCTCGGTGAGGCCAAGTCACCTTGCAGGAATGGTTCCGGACGTGCATCACAAGAGCCAGGACCCCTGTTCCGACCGACGGATAAAACGCCAGCCCTTGAAGGCGGAAATAACGGCCCGCGAACTACCGGACAGCGACTGCGCTACCGGCATTCACGACGGTGGGCGGAACCGGAAACTCCGGGCGCGTGGCGGGTGGGCCTGGCTGCGCGGCTGCGGCCCAGGGGGCGGGCCCGGCTCTCCCTGGGCCACTGATTGGTCGGCCCCCGGCAAGCAGCGGCCGCGGCTCCTGGAACTGTCATCTCCGCCGGTGAGTCCTGGGTTCGAGCCTGGGCCCTGCTGGCTCCCGAATTGCTCCTCGGCGCCCGGCTGTGACTCCATCTGGCCGGCTAGCACTGATCCAGCCGGCTTTTCTGATCCAGACTATCGGGCCAGGACCCCTCAGGTAGTCTTTGTGGGGGAGGGGCGAATCATGAGTGGCCTACGGGACCTCGTCCCTAGAGAACGGTAATGCGGCGCTGTGGCGGGGAGGACGACCGAGTGGAGCAGGTAGAGGCCAGGAGGCTGAAGCCCGGTGGAGGCCTCGATCCCGGACTGAGGGGTGGGAGGGGGAGGAGGCGGCGGCAGAGGCGGCAGGGGACGCGCGTGGGTCTGGACGAGACCACCCAGGATAAGGTCAGAACCCTTGCAAGCAGGACCATCCAAGGAATTGATTAAAAGCTCAGGAGCCAGCCAAGAACAGCCGTAAAGGTACAGAGGGCCGCCCCAGTATTCAAGGCGTGTTTAATGATTTTGTGATTCTTGGCAGAACGGGAGGCCACACCGAGATAAAGCGTGATACGACCTAATAAGTGTATTTTATTTGAGGGCATTACTTTGATAAGCTGAAGAAATAATTAATTTTTTTTAAAGAGCGTATTTTGGAAGTGTTTAGACGTATACAAAAGTCAGTAAAACACGGGAAATAGCATACCATTATGGATCCCAAGTACTCATCACCCAGCCTTACTCACAAATGGCCACCCTGGTTGCGTTACAAATATGTTAAGATTCGCCTCAAATCCATACCGATAATATGTCAATCTTAAGTTTAAAAAAAAAAAGTTCCTTTTGGGGCGCCTGGGTGGCTCAGTCGTTAAGAGTCTGCCTTCGGCTCAGGTCATGGTCCCAGGGTCCTGGGATAGAGCCCTGCCTTGGACTCCCTGCTCCGCGGGAAGCTTGCTTCTCCCTCTCCCACTTCCCCTGCTTGTGTTCCTGCTCTCGCTATCTCTCTCTCTGTCAAATAAATAAATAAAATCTTTAAAAGAAAAAAAGTTCCTTTCATTTTAATGGGTATAGAGGTTCAGTTTTGCAAGATGAGAAGAGTTCTGAAAATTGGTTGCACAGCAACTACTGAACTGTAACTTAAAAATGGTTAAGATGGCAAATTTTATGTCATGGGGTTTAACCACAATTTTTTTAATGTTCCTTTCAAATTAAAAAAAAAATGCTGCAAATTAGGGGGAAAATCTGACTTCAAATGTGCAATGGAAAGTAACTCATTGCCAAGGAGAGGCCCATAGAATTGTTTTTAGCTATGGAGGCTCTGGAATGAACCTGTTGGTTTTGGTGCTCAAAGCAGGGGGACCCTGCCTGAGGTGGAGTTTAAGCCTTGGTGGTGCCCTCTGGTTTATTCTAGACCTGAAGGGTTAGGCCAGCCTGGCTTTGCCAGTCGGATTTCCCCCATACGTTCCTCTTTCTTACACTCTGAGGCACACCTTTAACCCTTAGCTAAGCTCCTATGCCACTTCGTCCCTTCATTCACAGGAGGCTGAGTGAAGTGTGAATTCACCTTTTTCTCTCCATTCTCATTCTTTAGGGCACACCTGGGTACTCTGTCTCCAATCTACTCCATTTCCCAAATGTACCACAGGTCAGTCTTTCACACTCCTTGGTGTTAACTGGTAGGCAGCCTTCTACATTCTAGCTCTTTTCCAAGTGAGTCCTGCATGGATAGCCCTGAAACCTTCCTTTTGTCCACCCCAAACAAAATAAAACAAACTATAAAATGAGAAAGCAACTGCCAGGTTTGGGTTTTGGGCTCCCCCTGTCTTGCTCTGGGGCCCCAGGACCAGCTATTTTCTTACTGTAAGTTGGCTTTTATTAGAGAGTCAAACAACAATTGGATAAAATTTGCATCAGAAAGTTATATTACAGGGCCACCTGGACGGCTCAGCTGGTGGAGCATGTGACTCTTGCTCTCAGGGTTGTGAGTTCAAGCCCCACATTAGGTACAGAGTTTTAAAAAATAAAATACAGGCACCTGGGTGGCTCAGTTGAGCGTCTGCCTTCAGCTCAGGTCATGACCCTAGGGTCCTGGGATCCAGCCCCATATTAGGGTCCCTGCTCAGCAGGAAGCCTGCTTCTCGCTCTCCCTCTCTCTCTGCCTGCCACTCCGCATACTTATGTTCTCTCTCTCTCAAGTACATAAAATCTTTATTTATTTTTTAAAGGTTTTATTTATTTATTTGACAGAGAGAGACACAGCGAGAGAGGGAACACAAGCAGGGGGAGTGGGAGAGGGAGAAGCAGGCCCACCGCAGAGCAAGGAGCCCGTTGCGGGGCTCAATCCCAGGACCCCGAGATCATGACCCGAGCCGAAGGCAGACGCCCAATGACTGAGCCACCCAGGCGCCCATACATAAAACCTTTTAAAAAATAAAATAAGGAGGGGTGCCTGGGTGGCTCAGTTGGTTAAGCGACCACCTTTGGCTCAGGTCATGATCCTGGAGTCCTGAGATTGAGTCCCACATCAGGCTCCCTGCTCAGCAGGGAGTCGGCTTCTCCCTCTGACCCTCTTCCCTCTCGTACTCTCTATCTCTCATTCTCTCTCTCTCAAATAAATAAATAAAATCTTTAATAAAAAAATAATTAAGGGGCGCCTGAGTGGCTCAGTTGTTAAGCGTCTGCCTTCGGCTCAGGTCATGATCTCAGGGTCCTGGGATCGAGCCCCACATCAGGCTCCCTACTCCGTGGGAAGCCTGCTTCTCCCTCTCCCACTCCCCCTGCCTGGGTTCTCTCTCTCGCTGTATCTCACTCTGTCAAATAAATAAATAAAATCTTTTTTAAAAAATAATAAATAAATAAAATAATTTAAAAAATAAAATAAAATAAGGAGCCTGTTTCTCCCTCTGCCAGCCCTCCCTCAGCTTGTACTCTCTCTCTCTCCTTCTCTAACAAATAAATAAATAAAATCTTAAAAAAAAAAAAAGAAAATAAAGGATGCCTGGGTGGCCCAGTCAGTTAGGTGTCTGCCTTTGGCTCAGGTCATGATCCCAGGGTCTTGGGATCGAGTCCCGCAGTGGGCTCCTTGGTCCGTGGGGAGCCTGCTTCTCCCTCTGCCTGCCTCTCCCTCTGCTTGTGCTCGCTCGCTCTCTCTTCCTCTCTAACAAATAAATAAATAAAACCCTTTAAAAATTTAAATAAATAAAATAAAATGTATGCATTAAAGAAATAAGTTATATTATTGAGTAATGGCTATTTAGAACTATTCAGGAAAAAATTAGGCACTTGATCACATCACTAGATGTTAATGATGGTAAAAATGAACTAGTGACAGGGCTGCTGGTAATGAATGACAGAGCAAAAGTTAGATTCAGTCACAGGGTGAACTTGCTTAGTGTTCAATGTGTACATTTATATCTGTTCACTGAGAGCTCTTAAGATGATCATTATTAAAATATCTGCAGGAAATAATGCTGTTGCTCATATATAACTCATTTACCTTTAACTTCCTTTTTCCCCATAGAAACAGTTGTGATTTTGGATTAAGTGAGTTTTTGTTAGGAATGTAGCCATCATGTTACATCATAACTGCCTGTACACAGGAGGTGATATGAAATCAATGAACTGTTTTCTTATGTTTTCCTTTGTAGGGAAGATGGAAGAGCTGAGTCAAGCCCTGGCTAGTAGCTTTTCTGTGTCTCAAGATCTGAACAGCACAGCTGCCCCACACCCCCGCCTGTCCCAGTACAAGTCCAAGCACAGTTCCTTGGAGCAGAGTGAGCGGCGCCGCCGGTTATTGGAACTGCAGAAATCGTAAGGGATGCTTTAACTCTTTGGTCTCTTTCTTCAGGCTGGGAGCTGTGAACCAATCAGGAGGCTCTAGGTCTGTCTCCTCAAAGTAGACCCTTTTATAGGTACATGTTGCCCATGGGATTGGGAGGGGTAAATCCTAGCAGAGGTAGACATCCTTTACACCGAAAGCTTAGGAAAAGATGGAAACATAGGGAGAGACTGAAGTTTGAAAGCAAAAGCTGTTATTTGGTTAAATTTTTCTTATTTTCCTGGCAGCAGTACTGAGCTTTGCGATTTAGGGACTTGTGAAAGCCACGCCCAGACTTCCACTCCCCACATTCCCTGTGTGGCTTCTGCACTCTGAATCCTGGCATTGGTGTGGTCTTCCTGTCTGCCTTCAGCCCAAATGTTTCTGTGGAGCCCTTGAGAGCTCAATACAAATAATTCCGCAGGGAATCTGAGGAAATGTCTTCCATACACTGAATCCTCAATGCCAAGATGAGCAAGCAGGGGGAGAGAGCAGGATAGGAGTGTTTGAGGCTGGGCTGCCCTGAAGGCAGGGCCTGTCCATTTATCCTGAGTACAACATGGGCCTCCTCTTGGTCATAGGAATTGAGGATTCGAAGGAACTATTAACAGTACACAGTTTCTCTATGGTCTGCATTCGGCCCAGTGCTGCATCATTGGATGTGTTTAGCAGAAATGGTTCCCTGTGGCCTCTGGGTTGCTTGCAGATTACATTCTCAGATCACCTCCCCTGCTCCACACCCCCACCTCTGTTGTTTAAAAGTTATTTTGGAATAGGTAACACATTAATTGTATGTATTCACATGCAAAATTCAAAATTTGTAAGGATATATGGTGAAAAGTCTCCATCCCAGTATGATGCTAAGTGAAATAAGTCAGACTGAAAAAGAAATACCATGATTTCACTCATATGTGGACTCTGAATAATAAATAAATAAACAAACAAAAAATAGAATTGGACCATAAATACAGAGAACAAATTGGTGGTTGCCAGAGGGGAGGGGGTAGGAGAATGGGCAAAATGGGCGAAGGGGAGTGGGAGAGGCAGGCCTCCAGTTAATGGAATGAATGAGTCACGGGAATAAAAGTCACAGTGTGGGGAATACAGTCAATGATATTTCATAGTGTTGTAGTAGCTACACTTGTGGTGAGCACAGGATAACATAGAGAAGTTGCATCAGTGTATGTTCACCTGAAACTAATGTAACACTGTGTGTCAGCTATACTAAAAAAAAAAAAAAAAAATTTAAAGAAAATAAAGTCTCCCTCTCAATTCTGTCCTCTGGCCTTTCAGTTCCTCTCCCATATTATAGTTTCTTTTGTATCTTTCCAAAGATATTCTGTGCAGGTATGAGCAAGTGTGTGGTTGTATGTATATATACCATTTTTTTAAACAATTAGTGTACAGACACTGTTCTGCACATTTTATTTTTTTTTATTTTTTTTTTAAAGATTTTATTTATTTATTTGAGAGAGATAGAGAATGAGAGATAGAAAGCACAAGAGGGAAGAGGGTCAGAGGGAGAAGCAGACTCCCCGCTGAGCAGGAAGCCCGATGTGGGACTCGATCCCGGGACTCCAGGATCATGACCTGAGCCGAAGGCAGTCGCTTAACCAACTGAGCCACCCAGGCGCCCTGCACATTTTATTTAAAAGCAGTTTTTGGAGAGATTCTATGTCAGTACCATCTCATTCCTTTATTATGGTATCAGGTATTCTAGTGAATGGATATTTCATAATGTAATCTAACCAATCCCCTACTGATGGGCATCTGGGTAGTTTCTTCTCTTGTGATTACGAACAGTACATGGGAAAGAACCATGGATATGCATCCTGTGCACATGTACAAGTACACCAGCTCTTCCTCATTCTTGAAATAAAAGACCATTGTGCTCGCATGTGCTCTCCGTGGTGTGCACCTTCATGGGAATGTGCATGAACTCGTGTGTGTGTTTGAGAGGAAACCACTGAGCTGGTCTCGTTGCCTCAGTGGTGGATCTTGCTTTAGCATTGAGGAAACCAAGTGCAGGAGGTTACATGGTATCTACAAATCACTTTGGAACAATCAGATTCCAAACAGTTCTTATTCTTTTTCATTTTTTTTTAAGATTTTACTTCTTTATGAGAGAGAGCATGAGCTTGGGGAGGATGGAGTGGGAGGGAGAGGGAGAGAGAGAATCTCAAACCAGACTCCATGTTGAGCACTCAGTCCAATGACCTCAAGACCACAACCTGAGCCGAAACCAAGAGTCAGACGCTCAACCAACTGAGCCACCCAAGCACCCCAGTTCTTATTCTTTTTTAATCAATTGCCCAAGCTTTCTAGAATATGTATTTTTTTAATGAGGGTAAAAATAAAGGGAAATAAGTATAAAGATATATTAAATTGAGGGACGCCTGGGTTTCCTCCCCCACTCGTTCCAGCTTTTACTGTCTCTCTCAAATAAAAAATTTTTTCAAAGATTTTATTTATTTATTTGAGAGAGAGGGAGAGCACAGAGGGAGAGGGAGAAGCAGACTCCCTGCTTAGGAGAGAGCCCAACTTGGGGCTCGATACCAGGACCCTGAGATTATGACCTGAGCTGAAGGCAGATGCTTAACCGACTGAGCCACCCAGGTGCCCCAAATAAAGAAAATCTTAAAAAAAAAAGAAAGAAAGAAAGAAAGAAAAAAGAAATGGAAGAAGGCCTGGATGCTCCTCAGAAAGCTGTATAAATTAGGGGCTCCTGGGTGACTCAGGCAGTTAAGTGTCTGCGTTCTGCTCAGGTCATGATCCCAGGATCCTGGGATCAAGCCCCGCATCAGGTTCCCTGCTCAACAGAGAGCCTGCTTCTCTCGCTGTCCATCTGCTGCTCCCCCTGCTTGTGCTCTCTCTCTCTCTCTGTGTCAAATAAATAAATTAATTAAATATTTTTAAAAATAAAAAATAAAAAAAGAAAGCTGTATAAATTGGAAAGTCCCAGAAGTGGTTCTTGTTTTAAACTCCTCACCACATTTCAGTGATTCCTCTCTTCAATCACTGGGGGCCTTTGGATGAGATGCCTGCCCGACAGGAAAGTGTCAGCTCCAAGGGGGGGTAGAGATGTGAATCTGGAATGGGGTGGGCAGGAGCGGGGTCAGCCTTTCCAGCTAGTGAACCTTGAAGATTCCTTTCAATATGTTACTCTGCCTGTTTTTAGGAAACTGAGGAAGGCCGATTGTGTTCAGAGGAGGCTTCCTACCTAGGACCAGTGAGGGGGCCATCACTAGGTTAGCCTTAACATAGGAAATTCTACCATCTCTGCCACTAGAATCCCCAAGGTGATCCTGAATTTGAAACGTCTGAGTTAAAAGTAAATTTGTCACATTGTAGAGGGTCTTCCTAGGAGACAAAGGCCTGTCCTTGTGCCTTCTTTTCTCCAGCAAGCGGCTGGATTACGTGAATCATGCCAGAAGACTGGCTGAAGATGACTGGACAGGAATGGAGAGTGAGGAAGAGGAAGATAAGAAAGATGATGAAGAGATGGACGTTGACACTGGCAAGAAGTTACCAAAACGCTATGCTAATCAAGTGAGTAGTCCAGGGAAGGTGAGGCCCAGGTCCAGCCCCACTGAAGTAAATGTTCCCGTAAAGAGAGAAGGAGACAGGAGGAAGGAATGGGGGACTTCAAAGAAGCTGCTTTACATGCATAAAGTGTATGGACTTAGAGAAGAAATGGCTTATGGTGTCATGTGCTGAAGGGGGGGGTCACTGAAGGAGGCTGTGGGTGCTGGGTTTGAGAACCTTTACCCCATACTATAACCAAAGGTCACCAGCCTTCTGCAGAAAGCCCCTGAGCTATTGCTACACTACAAGAGTCCCTGCACTTGTCATTTCTTAGTGGTCGTTGTAGGGCAACTCTAGATTGGGCCTGCCCAGGCTAGCACTGCCCCCACCCTACCTCCTAGGTTAGTAGTCTTTCCTGAGCGGTAGACTAACATGTCAGCCTTGGATCTTCACATTCAGATGGTGGAAGGTGGGCAGAACAGCTGCCCTTGAATATGGGGTGCCTGGCCAGCAATGCCAGGCCAGCCCATTCATTGGCCTACATGCGGTTGAGGCCATGAAACAACAGATGACTATGACAAACTTGACTAAGTGGCCTATTGGTTGCAGAAAGAAACCAGTGTGGTTTGTGGAGCTATAGGGGGAGCAGGCATGAAGACTGTCAGTGCTTCAGGCAGTCCAGGTATTCCAGAGGCAGTGTATGGGTCCAAGTGGGGCCAGGGCTCTACCTGGCTATTATATTCTCTCTATAACCCAAGTGTCTTGTCACTTCAGAATCCTGTCCCACCTTAGGATATGGTTTCTGGGGGTGCCTGGGTGGCTCAGTCGGTTAAGCGTCTGCCTTCAGCTCACGTCATGATCCCAGAGTCCTGGGATTAAGCTCTGCATCAGGCTCTCTGCTCAGCGGGGAGCCTGCTTCTCCCTCTCCCTCTGCCTTCTGCTCCCCCTGCTTGTTCTCTCTCTCTCTGCCAAATAAATAAATAAAATCTTTAAAAAATATATGGTTTCTGGGTATACACACTCCCATCTTCTTTCTGTGCCCCCAGTACAGCACAGATAACATCTTCTATGACAAAGTGCAGTTCAGTCCTGTTCAGCAAGCATTGTTGAAGACCCTGCTCTGTAGTAAGCTAGGCTATGTGTGGGAAGATGGACAAGGGTCAGAAATGGCCCTTGTACTCCTGGAATAGTTGGAGATGATGGTTTTTGCTATAAGAAAGTGAGATTAGCTAATAGCGAGGAAGGAAGTAGGATTGTGAAATCAGGAAAAGGTTAATGAAAGAGGAGACAGCTTGTTTCTTTTTTAAAGATTTTATTTATTTGCAAGAGGGAGAGAGTATGTGCATGAGCTGGTGGAGGGGCAGAGGGAGAAGCAGACTCCCTGCTGAGCAGGGAAGCCTGACTCAGGGGCAGGGCTCACCCCAGGACCCCGGAATCATGACCTGAGCCAAAGGCAGCCACTTAACCCACTGAGCCACCCAGGCGCCCCAGGAGGAGGTAGGACATTGACAGGCAGACGTGCAGAGCACTCCAGGGCCTTCCAGGCAGCAGGAAGAGGAAGAGCAAGAGCCCTATGGTGTGCTGAGAGCAGCGTGCAGGCCAGTGAGGATGGAGCAGCATAGGACTGGGAGGAGGAATACAGCAGAAACATCTGCGGGAGTATAGACTGTGTTTTAGATTGTGGGGAACCACCGAGAATTTTTGAGCCAGGGACAGAGTTGGGACTTTGTATGGCATGCACGTCCGTGTATAGAAGGACCTGGAAGAGAGAGGCTGGAGTAGGGAGCTTAGCTTTGCTAAAACACTCTGCTGCTGGTGCTGAGGGCAGTGAGGGTGCGAAGGAAATGAGGTCATGAGTGTGAGAAATGTCGCCACGATGAATGGACAAAATTTAACAGTGGACCGGATAGAAGAGGCAGTGTGAGAAGTGGTTAATTATTTAAGCTCTGAAGTCCCATCCACCTGACCTCAAAATCAGGCTCTTTGTTGACCTTGAGCAAGTTATTTAACTGCTCTAAGTCTCTGGTTTCTTAACTGTAGAATGGGGATAGTTACAGTACTATTTCACAGGATTGTTGGAAGGATTGAAGCAGATAATGTACCCTAAATGCCTAGCACAGAGCCCATAATAGATGTCCCACAAATATTAGCTACTATTTTTTTAAACAGCTGTGTTGAGATAAATTCACATACCATACAATTCACACATTTACAGGATACAATTCAGTGTTTTTTAGTCTAGTCACAGGTAATGTGCAGCCATTACCACTCTCTAATTCCAGAACATTTTCATCACCCCCAAAAGGACCCTCACACCCATCAGTAGTCAACTCCCATTCTTCCTTTCCCCCAGCCCTTAACAGTCAGTAATCTACTTTCTGTCTCTCTGGACTCGCCTCTTCTGGACATGTGCTATAAGTGGAATCAAATGAGATGTGCTCTTTGTGTCTGTTTTTTTTCACTTAGCATAAGGTTTTTTAAGTTCATCTGTGTTGGAGTGTGCATTAGAACTTCGTTTCTTTTTATTCCCAGACAATGTTCTGTTGTCCAGATACCCGGCATTTGGCTGGTCTACCCATCAGGTGGTGGCATTTGAGTTGCTCCCACTTTCTGGCTGTTGTGAATAATAATGCTGCTGTGCATAGTCACGAACAAGTTTTTGCATGGATATGTTTTTATTTCTCTTTGGCATATACCTGGGAATGGAATTACTAGATCATTCTATGTTTGACGTTTTGAGGAGCTACCAGACTGTTTTCCAAAGTGACTAAAGCATTTTACATTCCCACCAGCAGTGTATGAGGGCTCCAATGTCTCCACACCTTTGCCAATGCTTTTTATTGTCCATCCTTTTGAGTATAGCCATCCTAGAGGGTATGAAGTGGTGTCTCATGGTTTTGATTTGCATTTCCTTGAGGACTGATGATATCAAGCATCTTTTTATGTGCTTATTAACCATTTGTATATCTTCTTTGGAGAAATGTCTATGCCCATTTTTTTTCTTTTAGAGGGGGAGAGAGAGAGAGAGAGAGAAAGAAAGAGAGAAAGAGGAGGGGCAGAGGGAGAGGGAGAGAGAGAATCTCAAGCAGGCTCCACGCCCAGCACAGAGCCTGACAAGGGCTCAATCTCACGACCCTGATTATGACCTGAGCCAAAATCAAAAGTCGGATGCTTAACTGACTGAGCCACTCAGGCACCCCTCTATGCCCATTTAATTGAGTTGTCTTTTATTATTAAGTGGTAAGAGTTCTTTATATGTTCTAGATACAAGTCTCTTATCAGGGGGCACCTGAGGGGCTCAGTCGGTTAAGCATCTGCCTTCAGCTAAGGTCATGATCCCCAGGGCCTCGGATCAAGCCCCCATAGGGCTCCCTGCTCAGTGGGGAGCCTGCTTCTCCCTCTCCCTCTGCCTTTCGCTCCCTCTGCTTGTGCTCCTCTCTCTCTCTCTCTCTCCCTGTCAAATAAATAAATAAAATCTTAAAAACAACATAACAATCTCTTATCAGATACATAATTTGCAATATTTTCTCCCATTCTGTGGGTTTGTCTTTTTACTTTCTTGATGGTATTACAGGCAGCACTAAAGTTTTAAATTTTGATGTAGTCTTATTTATCCTTTGTGTTGTCACTTGTGCTTTTGGTGGTGTAACACTACCATTCTTTAAGGATGTGTTGATTATGCTTGGTTTAAGATTCGGTAACAGAGAATGGTGTTGCCATTAACAGGGCTACAGGATGCAGAGGGGAAGTAGGGGAGTTTCAGGGATGGAAGCTACTTGGGCGACCAAAGACCATGAATCCTGTTTTGGGGACCCTGAGTTTAAGGTACAGAGGGAGCAAGCAGAGAAAGAGATACCACGTGGATGGCTGGAAATACAGGTCTGGAGAAAAGGAAAGCAGTCTGGACATGAAAAGGCAGGAGAATTGGGGTACCTGGCTGGCTCAGTCAGTGAAGCGTGTGACTCTTGATCTCGGGGTTGTGAGTTTGTGCCCCGTGTTGGGTGTAGAGCTTACTTAAGAAAACAAAAGCAAGGACAGAAAAGAAACAGAAGGAGAATTGGGGGGTGTCCTCTCAGAAGTGGCAGGTGAAGCTGCAGAAGTAGTTGCGACCTAGCCCCAAGCGGACAACCTCTGAGAGAAAAGAAAAGGAACCTAAGACAGCCTCCTGAAGATTCTCTACATGTTTTGGGGGAGTGTGTGGAGGAGCGTTTGGAGGAAAAAAAAGAATAGCGCTGGCTCACACGGCCAAGGGGACATGTGTCGAGGATGAGGAGGTGGTGACATGAGCAGTGGAGCAAGGGGGATAAGGGGGAGGAGAGAGAAGAGAGACACGTGGCAGCAAGCGGGTCCCTGACGGCCTCTGAACGGGCTGCGGGGTAGCAAATCTGGACTGAAGGTGTCAGAGTGGGCGGGAGGGCAGCGTCTAGAAATACGAAGTCGTCTTAAGAAGGACGAAGTGGGATACTTTAACAGAAATGCAGAGTGATAAAATGTTTTCATTTTTGTTTTGTTTTTAAAGATTAGGGCGTGAGCATTTTGTGGGCCAAGGGGAAGGAGAGATGAAAGATTCTGTGGGGGCGATTCGTTGATAGGCCAGTCTCTGTGTAATGGGAGGAATTGTGAGCCAAGAGTGGAAGAGTTATTCTTTGCAAAATTCATTTCACCACCACCACCACCCCCCCTTTTGTTTTAGTTTAAATTTTGTTAGTTACCATACAGTGCAATATTGGTTTCTGGAGTAGAATTCAGCGATTCGTCACTTCCATACAGTACCCAGTGCTCATCACAAGTGCCTTCCTTAATACCCATCAGCCATCTAGCCCATCCCCTACCCACCTCCCTCCGTCACCCCTCAGTTTGTTCTCTATCATTAAGAGTCACTTATGGCTTATTTCCCTCTCTCCTTTTTTTCTTTTCCCCCTTCCCATATGTTCATCTGTTTTCTTTCTTAAATTCCACATAGGAGTGAGATCATATGGTATTTGTCTTTCTCTAACTGATTTATTTCACATAGCATAATACACTCTAGCTCCATCCACGTCATTGCAAATGGCAAGATTTCATTTTTTTTTAGGATTTTATTTATTTGAGAGAGAGAGAGAATGAGAGAGAGAGAGCATGAGAGAGGGGCAGAGGGAGAAGCAGACTCCTTCCTGAGCAGGAAGCCCCACGCGGGACTCGATCCTGGGACTCCAGGATCATAACCTGAGCCGGAGGCAGTCGCTTAACCAACTGAACCACCCAGGCACCCCGCAAGATTTCATTCTTCACCCCCCCCCTTTCTTGAGGCAGATTTCCTAACATCCTTTGTACAGTATTTGGGGTCACCAGTTTGGGAAATGATGATCTAGATTAAGAGCATCTCAAGGTCAGGGACCTTATTCATCTCTGAGGTATAGCCCCTGGAACATAATAGTTATGAGAACAGCAGGTGGATGGACAAAGTAAGAGGAAGAAGGAGGTCCTGTCACCCAGACACAGGAGGCGAGGTAGTAAGAATGTACTATGGAGGGGCGCCTGGGTGGCTCAGTTGGTTGGGCGGCTGCCTTCGGCTCAGGTCATGATCCTGGAGTCCCGGGATCGAGTCCCGCATCGGGCTTCCTGCTCAGCGGGGAGTCTGCTTCTCCCTCTGACCCTCTTCCCTCTCATGCTTTCTATCTCTCATTCTCTCTCTCTCTGAAATAAATAAATAAAATAAAATAAAAAAGAAACATCTCTCATTAAAAAAAAAAAAGAAAAGAATGTACTATGGATGCAGGAAATGAAGACGAGGAGAGAAGTTGAAGCTCACAGTGAGCGGCCTCCATTCTGTCAGCTGAGACAAGTCGACTAAGAGCAAGTGAGCAGAGGTCTACCATCAGCCTTATATGTATTTTCATTATATATATATATATATATATATAGGATGTGAATTCTTTGTCACTGCAAACATTGCAGCAGCACACCCCTGTTGGTTTTTTTTTTAATATTTCATTTTTCTAAGTAATCTCTCCACCCAAGTGGGGCTTGAATTCACAACCCTGAGAGATCAAGAGTTGCATGCTCTACCAACTGATCAAGCTGGGCAGCCCCCACCCCTGTTGATTTTTAATGCCATTTTTTTTGTGTTCCCAGTTGATGCTGTCTGAGTGGTTAATTGATGTCCCTTCAGATTTGGGGCAAGAATGGATTGTGGTCGTGTGCCCTGTTGGAAAAAGAGCCCTGATTGTGGCCTCCAGGGTGAGTCGCTTCTTCCTCCCTATCCCAGCATGCTGGTCTATAGCAGGAGGAATTCTTTGCACTTTGTGTTCCTTTTTTTTTTGGTGGGCAGCAAAGCGAGGTTTATTGAGTGATAGCAAAGTGATAGTACAAAGCTCCCAAGGAGGAAGGGGACCCGATTGGGTTGCCACTGGAGTTTCTAAGTCTAGGGGGTTTTATGGGCTTGTTAGCGGGCTGTTTTCATCTGATGAACCCTCCCTGCGCCTGTCATCGAATCAGGTTTTTGTCATCTACCTATCACATGAGAAAGGGTGGAGGGCTCCTTCAGGGTGGTGTAAGATCCTTTCAAGGGTGGTTTCTCTTAGGGCGGGGGCCCCTTGTCCCTACCTATCTGCCTTCCAACTATCCTTCATCATTCCCCCCTCTGAAGAGGTAATCGTAACTGCTGTTAGGGAAGAAGGATGACAACCGTTCATAGCTACCTTCTGCTGGTCAGGGGCGTCTCGTCCCGATCTATCAAGAGGCCCCCTGTGGATGTCTGGTTTGACCTCCATGTGAGGCTCCATCTGAACCACCATTTGGAGTTTGATGACCTTTATTGGTTAGTTGTCCTTAATGGTGGTGGAGATCCCGGACGAGACCCCATAAATGTTTCAGGATTTTTTTCTCCATCGGTGCCCATGGTTCTTGGTCACATCACTTCGAAAAATGAAGAGGTAGACCAGACAGAGTAGTGGGCAGCAAAGCAAGGTTTATTGAGCGACAGCAAAGTGCTAGTACAAAGCTCCCGAGGAGAGAGTGTGCCTGAAGGGTTGCCCACACTTTGCGTTCCATAGCAGCTGCAGCAGCTGTGCCTGGCATGGAGGTTGAAATGCTTTCCTTCCGGGAGGATTTGCTGAGAGCCATCTTTGGGCTGATGACACCTCTGCAGATTGTGGAAGCAAGAGGGTAAGGAGACCTTGATGCCTAATGGGAATGGTAACTTTCCACACAGGGTTCTACCAGCGCCTACACCAAGAGTGGTTACTGTGTCAACAGGTTTTCTTCCCTTCTGCCAGGAGGCAATAGGCGAAACTCAACAACAGCAAAAGGTACCTACATGAAATCATCTATTTATTAAGTTTGTTTGTTTGTTTGTTTAGAAATATATATATATTTTTACATAATCTTTACACCCAACAGGGGTTCAAACTCACCACCCCAAGATCAAGAGTCACATGCTCTACCAAGTGAGCCTGCCAGGTGCCCCTATTTATTAAGTTTATAATTAGTAAAAGACAGTGGAAGGTCCTTGGTTACTTGCTTTAAAGACTCACTCTGAAAGCATACCTTTGAAACTGTACATCTGGATTCGGGCCATCTTCTTCAAGGTCAGGCCGCCTCAACTACAGAATAGATGCAGCCCTGGGGCGCCCGGGTGGCTCAGTTGGTTAAGCGACTGCCTTCGGCTCGGGTCATGATCCTGGAGTCCCGGGATCGAGTCCCACATCGGGCTCCCTGCTCGGCAGGGGGTCTGCTTCTCCCTCTGACCCTCCCCCCTCTCATGTGCTCTCCATCTCTATCTCATTCTCTCTCTCAAATAAATAAATAAAATCTTTAAAAAAAAAAAAAAAAAAGAGAATAGATGCAGCCCTGTGAGGCCTGCTGGGGAACAAATCCCTGAATTAAAATCGACACACCTTCCCTGTGGACATCCATTACAAGGTGACATGTGCAGTTTTGGGGGGTTAGGTTCCTCAGAATGCCGAATGTAAAGTACAGTGAGCTGTTGCTGGGGCTTCCTGCCAAATTCCCTTTTCTCCTTTATCGTTGTTCTAACCTTAGCCTCTCCTTCCAACCTAGGCTCAGCTGAGGAGACTAAGATCATGGAGGTTAAATCACTTGCCAACAGCCGTTCATTGAAGTGGCAGAGCTGGGCCTGAACCCTGTTCTCTTCCCTGCCTGCTCAGGCTCCCTTGGTGTGCTTGGTACTGAGCCTAGATTTTTCTGTTTGCTTTTGGAGTGCTTCACACGTGAACTTTGGTTCACCCATCCTCATGTCTTTCCCCTACTCCTTATACACACTCCTAGCTCTATTCAGCTCGCTTGCCTGCTTGTTGCCCACATGTGCCCTGTTCATTCTACCTGTAGGCCTTTGTTACGCCACATCAGTATTCTGGTCTGAAATGCCATTCCACCTCCCCTCTGCCCTGTTGTTTTAATCCTCTGATCCCGGAAGACTACGTTCACGTACCATCTCTTCTGTGAAGCATTTCCTGCTATGCCAGTCTCCCTCTTCTGGAATTCCTGTTGCTCTTTGTGTTGTGTTTGTGTTGTACAGTTCAGCTCTTGGTTCTTTTCTCTATGATCATCTTATCTCCTTAACTGGATTGTCACTTCCTTAAGGGCAGGGACTATTTATGGTTAATATTCCCCACAGAGCACACCACATATGATAGGAACTCAAAAGTGCATGTAAGGGGCGCCTGGGTGGCTCAGTCGTTAGGCGTCTGCCTTCGGCTCAGGTCATGATCCCAGGGTCCTGGGATCAAGCCCCGTATCGGGCTCCCCACTCTGCAGGAAGCCTGTTTCTCCCTCTCCCACTCCCCCTGCTTGTGTTCCCTCTCTTGCTGTGTCTCTCTCTGTCAGATAAATAAATAAAATCTTTAAAAAAAGAAAAGTGCATGTAAATTAAAATGGATTACTTGCTTTTGGACTGGAGCTTTTCTAAGGTGAGTAAATGTCCCAGTTTATCTAAAAGTTTAGAATTCCCACCTCGCTTAAGGGTTGCCTTGATCTCTCTCATGCTGTCCTACTCACATCACCCTTACGCGCACCAGGAACAAGAAAGGGCCATGAAGAACTTTCTCCCTAATGAACTCTGATTGGAAGGGGTACCCTGTACTGATTTTCTGCTCTGTATCCCCAGACTACACCATTCTGGACTGCATTTACAGCGAGGTGAACCAGACCTACTATGTTCTGGACGTGATGTGCTGGCGGGGACACCCTTTTTATGACTGCCAGGTAAGGATTGATACTCTCCTCATGTCTTCTCCTGTTTTCTCCTCTCCTCCCAGGAAAGTGGCTCAGCATGTGGGTTTGGTACGTGACCAGCTTCTTGGTGTGCACAGGATGTGGTATATCAAGAACATTATCTAATGTTCCTTGCATCTTTGAATGTGTTTAAATTAGCTTCATTAAAAAAAAAAAAAGAAGTAGGAGGAATTAAGGGAAGTACAGCAATTCTTGAGGGGAGGAAAGAGTGAAACAGAGCAGAGGGGTAGGCTAGGACTTTGTAGAAGCTGCCGCCGCCGCCCTGCCTCCCCAGAGTGGGGGAGGATTGCTGGCAGGGGAGATTGTGGGCAACAGGGATGCCATCTTGTGCAGGCAGCACAAGGAAGAGAAGGTGGAATTAAGTCACCACCGAAGAGTCTCCAGCCAGCTCTGCTGCCTCACCAACCACATCCTGACCCTGAAAACAGAAGGGCCTCCTTTGTATGACACAATGGCGCAAATCTCTGAGGGGCCAGCTCTGGAAGGAGATTTTCCAAGTGAGAGTGAGGAGATGCCCCAATATTCTCCCCTCAAGTTTCACCTTCCCCCAAGGTTTTTCTGAGATCGGTGATTCCTATGAGTGACGGTGGCAGTCATTGGAGTGAGGCTGGGTCAGCCCCTCAGACTCCACTTCTGTTCCCCATACTCCCCCATCATTGTCTCAGTTTTCTAGTGGTTAGAAATGCAAATTCCCAGACCTACTGAATGAGAAACTCTGGGGTCAACTCATGTTTGTTTGTTTTTTTTTTAAAGATTTTATTTATTCATTTTAGACACAGAGATACAGAGAGAGAGAGAGCATGAGCAGGGGAGAAGCAGAGGGAGAGGGAGAAGCAGGCTCCCCGCCGAGCCAGGAGCCCAATGTGGGGCTCGATCCCAGGACCCCGGGATCATGACCTGAGCCGAAGGCAAACGTTTAACCATCTGAGCCACCCAGGTGCCCCTCAACTCAACTCATGTTTTAACAAACCTCCAGGCAATCTTCATGCAGGCCCAAGTGTGAGAATCACGGGTTGTCACTATAGGCTGCTTCTTTCCGTAGCCATTAGCCGAAGCGTGATTTTCCAAAGCATGCTGCTAGATGGTGGTGCTTCAGAATTCGAATACACGCCTCATTCTAACAATATAGCTAAGACTTGCATTGCCAAGCACTTTCTAAGCACTATCTCACTGAAGCCCTTACAACAGCTCTATAAGGTGAGTACTGTTGTCATTCCTCATATAAGTATGGAAGCTGAAACCACAGATGGTGAGTACCTTGCTCTAGTGCAGAGCCACACCTAAAACTCAGATCTCATAAATTTAATCTAGAACATATTTTTCTTTAATTCTGCTGAAGGATGTTTTATAACATGTATTCACAACTTGTAAATTTGGATACTAAAATTACCTGTATTTCGGGGTGCCTGGGTGGCTCAGTGGGTTAAGCATCTGCCTTCGGCTCAGGTCATGATCCTGGAGTCCTGGGATTGAGCCTTAGGTCGGGCTGCCTGCTCAGCGAGGAGTCTGCTTCTCCCTCTGCCCTTCCCCCTGCTTATGCACACACGCTCTCTCTCTCTCAAATAAATAAAATCTTTAAATAAATAAAATTACCTGTGTTTCTGTAATATATAGAATAGGCTTTTTTTATTTTTAAGAGCAAAATAATGTACAAGAAACAAAAGGCACTTAATGGCTACAGAAGTATACATATCAGTAATTCAGAGAATAAAGTAGTTTATGAGAAGTTACAACTATATAGTAGTTTCCTATCCTCAGAATTAAAATAAAACAAAGTTTGGGGTGCCTGGGTGGCCCAGTCATTAAGCGTCTGCCTTCGGCTCAGGTCCTGATCCCAGGGTCCTGGGATCAAGCCCCACATTGGGCTCCATGCTCAGTGGGAAGCCTGCTTCTCCCTCTCCCACTCCCCCTGCTTGTGTTCCCTCTCTCGCTGTGTCTCTCTCTGTCAAATGAATAAATAAAATCTTTAAAAAAAAACAATAAAATAAAACAAAGGTTAACATAATGTGCTTTGGAGTTAGAGTCCTGGGTCACCTTGTATTTTCTATGGGGAAATGATATAAGCTCTGTGAGCCTCAGAGTCTTCACCTATAGAATGGAAATAATGGCAATCCAATTCTCAGAGTGTGGTTGAGGATTAATAAGATTATGTGCATAAAGTCCTTAGCATGGAGCCTGACACAAAGTAGGCCATTAGTAATATATGTTGGCTCAACTGCTTTTAAAAATCTTATTGGGTTTTAAGAAAAAATCTTCAAAGATTTTATAAACATTTTCCTGACCTTATGGCAGTGTTTGAAGGGACAATGAGGTAATGATAGAGGAGCTTAGGTCTCTATAAATTAGGTGGCCATTTAGAATGGGGTGTTTTTGTTCAGATTATAGTTTGAAATGAGCAGCATTTCATCTTTCTATTTCCCTTCTCTGTGGCAGACTGATTTCCGATTCTACTGGATGCATTCAAAGTTACCAGAAGAACAAGGACTGGGAGAGAAAACCAAGCTTAATCCCGTAAGGCCTGGTGTTAGGACTGTAGGATTCTTTAGGGGGATTGGTTTGGATTGTTCTATTATCTGAATATAATCATTATAAATGAAATTATCTTGTTGTTGAGGCAGCGTGGCACAACGAGAAGGATGTGGGCTTAACAGTCATCCAGATCTGAACTAGTTTTGGCTTTAACAATTACTAGCTAAAGTTAATAACCTCAGTTGGCCTTAATTTCTTCATCTGTGTTATAGGGTTAATAACACCTACTTTACCGGGTTGTTCTAAGAACCAAGTGATACAAATGAGCAAGTTCTCCTAACATGATACTTACGGTAGTCACTCAATAAATAGTGGTTGATATAAAATGCTAATCACTGTAACTGATATAAAATGCTAATAGCTCTCGTACAGTGGTTCTCAAACTGTAGCATGCGTCAGCAGTATCTGGAGGCTTGGTAAACATAGATGCCTGGGCTTCCTCGCCTAAGTTTCTGATTCAGTAGGTCAGGGTGAGCCTGAGGATTTGTATTTCTAACAAGTTCCCCAGTGTTGCTGGTACTGCTAGTCCGCGGACCACACTTTGAGAACCTCTGTTCTTGTATCTGAGCTGAGAGTGACCTCATCTAGTCAGCTGCCTCATTTTACAGATGAGGATAAGCTCAGAGAGGGGACTGCCTTCCCCAAGGTCCCACAGCCCAGGATGACAGCCCATATGTCTTTGCTACCCACTCAGCGATGAAATATGTGACAGCTGTGTTCAGGGCATTTTATTAGCAAAGCCCCATAGATTGGCATTTGCTTGGATTGCTTACAACACTTTTAAAGGGATTCAGATAACCAATTACAGGACAGTAAATGGGGTCAGTATCCAGTGATGTTACCAGGAAGGTCTTGAAAGAACATGTATTGAGGAAGGGGAACATGGGAGCAGCTGGGTCTGAAATGTTCTGAGTGCTCTGCATGTATTATCTCACTGAACCCGTGCAACAACCCTATGAGGGAGATACTTTTATTATCCTGTTTTATAGATGGGACAGCAGAGGTATATACAGATGAAATGATTGGCAGAGTTGGGAGTCAAACCCAAGCAATCTGACTTTAGAGTTTTAGTCCTAATCACTTTGTTACACTGTTCAGTCTAAAAATCCTTGCTGATGTGAAAGGGGCTGCACTAGTCCTTCTTTAGCACTGTCATATGGCTTCGAGAATAACATACAGTCCCTAAACCTAGCACAGGACAGTGGTTGTCAGTCCTAGTTGTGTGTCAAAATCAACTGGATAGCTTTAAAAAAAAAAAATGCCTGGGACCCAGGCCAATTCAGTCAGAATCTCGGGGTGGGGCCTGGGCTTCAGTGATTTTTAAGAGTTCCCCTGGTGATTCTTGTGGATAAAGCAAGGTTGAGGACTACCAACCCAGTAATTCATAGGGTGGAGGCGGGTAGGGAAGGATGAGACTGAACTTTTCTTCTTTGATACAATTTTTCACTTGCTGGAACCAGTACTATTTGTAACATGTACTAATTCTTTTCTCTAATTTATATTTTAGTTTAAATTTGTGGGGCTAAAGAATTTCCCTTGTACTCCTGAGAGCCTGTGTAAGGTGCTGTCTATGGATTTCCCCTTTGAGGTAACAACTATTGTCTTTATTGCTCTGACCCGATTGCAGGATGCAGGGACCCTTGGCTACACAGAGTCTTAGGATATCCTCTGACTTTGCTGTGTCAGAGCATCAGAGAAGGGCTGAAAGCTGATTCCTGGGAAAGGATGTGCCACTGCCCTTCAGAGCCTCAGCTCCACCCTGCTAGTTAAGTCAGAATGCCAGGGCTGGAAGGGCCCTGCAAGGACAGCTCATCTACACCCCTCATTGTACATATGGAGAGGCAGGGGTGCAGGGAGGGCCAAGGCTTCCATTCCCAGGTCCTTCTTGGGTGCCTGTTTTCTGCTACGAGCCTGATAGCCAGGCCCCTTGTTTGACTGCCATAGCTGATGGTAAAGTTGGGGGCTCCTGTGACTGACAGACCAAGGGGGCACGAACTCCTTATCCTCCCTCCCAAGAGTAGATGGTCCCTGGGGGTGGCGCTGCTTGCTGAGCAGTGGCACGGCAGCAGGGTGACCAACCTGCCCTGGTTTGTCCAGATCTTTCCCAGTTTAGCACTGCAAGTCTCATGTCCCTAGAAGTTCCTCAGTCCTCGGCAGTCTCTTGTCATCCTCAGAACCTGCAGTTACCCTCTCCAGGCTCAGCACACAACCTTTCCTTTGCCCCTCATACCCTTTAAAATTCTGCCTCGTCACCCACAAGTATTTGCTTGAACTTGATATAATTTTGCTAAAAGGATCACAGCTTCCCAAATGAGGAAATGGCAAAAGCCAAGTTGCCTTCATTTCTGGGAGTCAATTAGGAAGGTGGTAAAAACACCATCTTTATTTATAATCCTTATGCCCCAGTGACAATAAATGCTTTTTAGAGATGAGTCACTGAATCATGGAAAAGAAAATGTGGGACTGTAGGAGGTCTTCCCGTTGAGAAAAACTGAGTTTCCCAGAACATAGCTTGCAGACAATTTAGGGGGAGGTTAGGCAGCCAACAATGGCATGGGGAGCAGGGCTTCCTGACAGCCTGTTTCCCCTGTGCTCAGCAGTCCAGCATCTTGGAGGGGCCTGTCCAATTCCCCTGCTTTGTTCCCTGTGTGGAGCACATTCCCCATTACAGACACATCTGAGTGGTGAAAAGTGCATGGGATCTGGGGACAGAAAACCTGGGTTCAAGTTGAATTTCTGCTTCATACTGTATTTTTATTTTTATTTAATTATTTTATTTTAAAAAGATTTTTATTTATTTACTTGAGAGAGAGAGTGAGCAAGAGAAAGAAAGAGCACACGCCAAGGAAGAGGCAGAGGGAGAGGGAGAAGCAGGCTCCCCACCAAGTAGGAGCCCAGTGTGGGGCTCAATCCCAGGACCCTAGGATCATGACCTGAGCCAAAGATAGACGCTTAACCAACTGAGTCACCCAGGTGCCCCTATTTTTTTTTTTTAAGATTTATTTATTTGAGAGAGAGAGAGAGAGCCCGAGTGGAAGGGGCAGAGGGAGAGGAAGAGAGACTCTCAAGCAGACATCGTGCTGAGCATGGAGCCCAATGCGGGGCTTGATCTCACAGACTCTGAGATCACGACCTGAGCTGAAACCAAGAGTCGGACACTCAACCAACTCTGCCACCCAGGCTCCCCCATACTGTGTTTTTAGGGAGGACCCCAGAACTAGCCCTAGCCCCTTTTCTTAAACACCCTCAGCAGTGGCTAAGAGGATAAAGTAGTGGGTAGCAAGCACCCTGTAAACAAGAAAGTGCTATTTATGTTTTTATTTTCTAAAATTTAGTTTACTAGGCCATTTCTTCATTTAAAGAAATTGCATGTGTGAGAAACAAGGATTCTTCTTCCCCTGGCAGTGATCCAGGAAAGGGAGTTGGCACCCTAGAGCTGCCCCGGTGTGCATGGACTCTCCTGGAACATGGGGCCCGGGAAGTCATTTTGGTCCCTGGTTTCCCCTTTTATAGGTAGATGGACTTCTCTTCTACCACAAGCAGACCCACTATAGCCCTGGAAGCACTCCTCTGGTGGGCTGGCTGCGCCCCTACATGGTGTCCGATGTTCTTGGCATAGCCGTGCCAGCCGGCCCGCTGACCACCAAGCCAGAATATGCTGGGCACCAGCTCCAGCAGATTATTGAGCACAAGAGGAGCCAGGAAGGCATGAAGGAGAATGTCACACACAAGGCGTCTGAGAACGGACGCTATGAGTTGGAACACCTGTCTACCCCCAAGCTGAAGAGCCCTCCCCATAGCCTGGACCCCCCCGGGAGCTTCATGGAGAACTGAACAGGGTGGCTCCTTGGGGAGTCACAGGATGGTGCTTCATCCCAAAAAGAAGTCTGGGGAGGAAGACAGTGACAACAACAGGTTATTTCATTTTAGAGTGGCCTTTCCAAAGCCACTCCAGTTGGCTACTGCTTATCTCCTATCTGAAATGCTGGCTCAGACTGTTGAGAGAGGTTCCCAGATTGGGTGGTCTTTGGATTTGAACAGTAATTCCTGTGAAAAGTGTATCCCAGATACCCACAATGTAAATATATGTAATTCTTATGAAAGAAGTTGTTTGTGGTTCTTAAACTTCAGATGGTCGTGACCCTCCCCCACCTTCCCCCCCGCCCCCAGGCTACCTAAACCATGACTGTTCAAGTCTTGGCCCATTTCACTGTTTTTAGCACTTAAGCATTCAGCTGAGTTTCCAGTCGCTGCTGTTAGTAACGTCATTTTCTAAAAGGTCTTACCAGGAACTGCAGTTCTTGGTATTTGAATATGTTCCCTCTTCTGAGAAGTGTGATTCTCTTTGGTTTAGACAATGCCAGAGATAAAATGCAAATGGAGTTCATTCACAACTTTAACAAACATTGCGCCTTTCAGAAGATAAGCCTTGTGCTAGGCCCCAGTGATGTAGAGGGGGTTATGCAGATAGGTAGGACTCAGACCCTGCCCTTGAGGATTAACAGTCCGGTTGAGGAAAGAAACCCACCGGCATGGTGGTGAGAAGATTGCTTTCCGGCTGAAAGATGCAGAGAACCCTGGGCGGGAAAGCAGAGGGAGGCTCCTTAGAGGAGGTTTGGAGCTAGACTGAGGCTCAGAGCAGGACAGAAAGGGCTCTGCAGAGGAGGAGAGCAGGAGTTTCTCACAGAGGCAGGAGGGTATGCAGTTGCCCCCTCTGGAGCGGGGTCAGACTCGCTCTGGGACCTGAAGCAGGTTCAGCGTGCCTCAGGCTTAAATGTGGGTTGGGGAGCTGCCCAGGAGGAGGCTGGAGAGAGAGGTGGGCCTGGGTATTCTGCAGAGGTTTTAGATTTTATGTCATGGCAGAGCTTTGAGCAGGCCAGATCCATTTAGATTTGTAAACTAGGGCTCTTTGGCAGCTGTGGCAGTGGAAGATAGTGTCTGAAACTAACCAATTCATTTCTGCTCTGTGTTCAGGAAATGTGTCCCCATTTCCCGTGGCCTCAATCTGCTGCTCACACTGCTTTCCACCTTTCTAGGATTTCTTTGATCAGACAAAAAGAGTTCACTATTTTACTCCCACAATACTAGCTAGTGTCCTGTGGACAAAATTTTGGAGGCATGCAGGTCGGATCTTGTCTGACTTGCAGTTGGTTCCTTTGGGTTGATTAATTCTGGGAACAGATCTGGGCAGAAGTTGTGGTTCAGTGGAGCCTGATTACACAAATTCAGCACATCAGTGGAACTAGCCTCAGTGTTGGGCTTTTACAGAGCTGCTCAAGCTGACTCTATAAAATCGGAGAAGGAAGACAACACCCCCCCCCCATAATGATCCTGCTGGCTGCAGATTTAAGCATGCCTACATCAATAAGCTCTTTTCTGAATTTGGGTCAATGCTGCAATAGGAACATTGTATTCCTCTTGCCAAGAAGCATGTTGTCAGCTGCCTAGACGCTACATGATCTTCCCAAGGAGAATGCACTAGTCTGTGCTCTTAGCAAGCCAACTGTATCATTTCAGGAGCTGCGCATGCTAGCTAGTCTCAGAGACTTGGCTGGGCCCTGCTCAGAAATAAGCATGTCTGGAGAGACTATTTCCACAAAAGGACACTCTTGGGAGACAGATGCACGAGTCACAGAATATACCAGGCAAACTTACAACCAAGCACAACTTGATATTGTTGAATGATAGCTTGAAGGATGTATTTCAGAGGAGTACCCCTTCTATTTTTAACTGAGGAGTCAATATTATCAATCACTGAATAGCATGTCCTCTGGTCATATTTCTTGTGAATTGTAAAACCACCTCCTGCCACCTGTTTCAAAGATGACTGTGTAAATAAGTTGTTGTGATTGGATATTAGTTTTCTGGCCACCCTTCTGAATAGCGACCAGTTTCTTTTTTTGTGGAATTATCTCTTCCTTATGCAGTGTGATCTGATGGGACTATATCTGGGGGAACTGCGCTCCTTTAGCCAAACATCAGGCTCATGACTCAAGATGGACCAATCACCTGCTCCTTACCAGGAATCTGTATCCTGAGCAGAGGAACAAAGAAAGTGAATCCGTTGGAATTCATTTATTTTGCTCTCGGAAAGGTAGGGGGTGTTGCTTGTTCTTGCTATTAAACCAACGAGCACCCAGTAAATTCGGTCTTGCTTAAATTAGCCAGAGCTGATTTCTGGGCTTGCAACCAAAGAATCCTAGCTGATACTATTGGCCGTGGCCTATCCTGCTTGCCTTGGCTAGAGGGCCAGCTTGGCATGAGTTAACTGAGGACTCCTAGTTGAGATCACCTATTTCATCTCAAGTGCCATTGGAACCCACACACCTGGAAAAGAGTAGGCTTTTCAAACAGTTGATACAAAGTAAGCAGTCCTGGTTGTTTTACTGTTAACTCAGAAATCCATGCTAGGTTCTAATGCCTGCATCAAAGAGTTGGTGTCATCCTAATTCACTTGTGTTTGATATTAGTTTGTCTATAATCACTGTTTTTTTCTTTTAAAGATTTTACTTATTTATTTGACAGAGAGAGAGCGAGAGAGGGAACACAAGCAGGGGGAGTGAGAGAGGGAGAAGCAGGCTTCCCGCTGAGCAGGGAGCCCGATGCAGGGCTGGATCCCAGGACCCTGGGATCATGACCTGAGCCGAAGGCAGACGCTTAACGACTGAGCCACCCAGGCGCCCACTGTTTTTTCACTAGTTCACTTCACACTTACTTGTGTCAGAAATCTGACTTCTGTTCCTACCACTTTTGGGTGCTCTCATCAAGGGACTGGTGTTCTCCTCTTTTCCAAATGTAAGGGACATTTCCCGGCCTTTCTTTTTCCTGGCTTCAGCTGCTGTATATGTGCTGATGCCTTCCCTGCGCTCTAGCCCGGTCTATATATCTCACTCCTTACCAGTCAATCTCCCAGTCACTTCAAACTTGGCACATCCCAAACTGAACTCATTATCTCTCCCCCACAGTCCCTCTCAATCATGCTCTCTTCCGGCGATCCTTGTCTTTGTTAATAGCATTTAGTCACCCCAGCTAGGAACCTAGCTATTATTCTGATGATTCCTGTCCATTCCTTACCTTTCACAGCTAGTAGTCACCCAATCCTTTAAACTCCACCTTTCTCTTCTTCATTTCCTCTATGACCTAAAGCCTTAATTCAAGTCTTCATCATCCTAGAGTACTGCCAGAGTTTCTTACCTAGTTTCCCTGCCACTAATCCTCCCCCCGCTGCCATCCACTCCTGCCATAACTGGCAGAGTGATCCTTCCTAAAAATGCGTTGCTTCAAGGATTTCCCATTGCCTACAAGCATCTCAGCCTGCCGTGCAAGTTTCTTCATGACCTGGCCTTAGCATATCTGTCCAGCCTCATAAATTACCTTCCTTCCTTTGCTGCCTCCTCTCCCGTGATGCTGCTTTACAGTTCCTTGTACAAAAACATGTGTTTCATACCACATCCTCCCACCCCCACCACCATGTCCCTCTTCACTCAGACTTCATTCATCTGGTAAATGTATCTACTCATCTTTGGAAAACTCCATTCAACAGATACCTGGTTGAACCTTTACCTCTGCAGGTAGAATTAGCCATTCTCATGTTTGTGCCCTCCCCATCCCACTGCATATATCTCTCTCTCCCAAATTTAGGGATAGTCCTCAAGACCACACTTAGGTTTGATAATTCACCAGAAGAACTCACTTAAAGCTGTTATACTCACAGATAGAGTTTGTCACAGTGTTAGGAAACAGATTAGTCAGCAGAGGGAAGAAATGCATGGGGCAGAGTCCTGAAAGTCCCAAATGTGAATCTTCCAGTTTTCCTCTCCCAGTGGAACCATGAATAGCATTAACTTCCCTGGGACCTGTGTATGATAGTACTCAGGGAGTACTGCCAACCAGAGAATTTCACCTGAGCCTTGGTGTCCTAAGTTTTTATTGGAACTTGGTCATTTGGACCTGGTTGGCTGACCTCAGTCTCCAGACTCTCCAGAGGTCTAGCTGATAACACAGGATCCAAAGTCCTCCTTTCCCCCAGTCACATTGCTCGGCTATCTGGTGTGGCCAAAGACCCCTAGGCAAACAAACTTTCTTAGGACATTTCAAAGGCTTAGAGGTTATTTCCTAGGAGCCAAGGGCAAAGGCCAACTTCCCTTTGAGCAAGATTAAATTCCTTACTACACACTCCATTAGATTGCAAGCTTTTTTTTTTCAAAGATTTTTATTTATTCATTTGACAGAGAGAGTGAGAGCGTGTGTGCACAAGTAGGCAGAGCAGTAGGCAGAGGGAGAGGGAGAAGCAGCCTCCCGGCTGAGCAGAGAGCCCAACTCGGAGCTCGATCCCAAGACCCCAGGAACATGACCTGAGCCAAAGGCAGTTCTGCTTAACCGACTGAGCCACCCAGGCGCCCCTAGATTGCAAACTCTTTCAGGTCAGAGACCTGGTCTTATTCATCTTTAGCTCCCCAATGCCTGGCATTTATTAAAATGTTGGTTGGGTGGGGCCGCCTGGGTGGCTTAGTCATTAAGCATCTGCCTTCAGCTCAGGTCATGATCCCAGGGTCCTGGGATGGAGCCCCACATTGGGCTCCCTGCTCCGCAGGAAGCCTGCTTCTCCGTCTCCCACTCCGCCTGCCTGTGTTCCCTTTCTCACTGTGTCTCTCTCTGTCAAATAAATAAAATAAAAAATCTTTAAGGGGCGCCTGGGTGGCTCAGTCGTTAAGCGACTGCCTTTGGCTCAGGTCATGATCCCAGGGTCCTGGGATCGAGCCCCACATTGGGCAACCTGCTCGGTGGGAAGCCTGCTTCTCCCTCTCCCACTCCCCCTGCTTGTGTTCCCTCTCTCGCTGTGTCTCTCTCTGTCAAATAAATTTTAAAAATCTTAAAAAAAATCTTTAAAAAAATGTTGCTTGGGTGAATGAGATGATGAGCTGGAATGAGAAGGCAGTCTGAGGGACAGTCCCTCTTCTCTTCTGCACAGAGCAGTGACCCTGGAGAGGAGGCTGAGTGGAAGTCTGTGGTGGGCTGCTAATGAGTGGATGGATATGCTGCAGAGTTCTAAAAACAAGAACTATATTTAGTTCTCCGAATGTGCTTAAAAGGACAACCTAAAAAC